CATAAGTAGAATCTAAAACATCTACTCTCAAAACTAGAAAATCAGATGGTCGAATGTGACCAAACTATCTAAGATAACTCTCTAATCTTGGCTGCCAGTGGAGCTACACTAACCGTTTCACGGATAGATTTGTTTCGCATTTTGTCTCTAAGGGTCAAGCCTTTCATCTATCTCAACATTCTCATCTCACCAATGCTTAACTTTGTTTTATACTTCTCATTTAAAGGTCAACACTCTGCGCCATAAAGCATTAAAGATCTTACAACTATCTTATAAAATTTTCCTTTAAGTCTAAACGGTACTTATCTATCACACAATAAGCCCGATGCTTTCCTCCACTTCCACCAACCAACTTGAATTTTTACTAATAACATTCTCATCTATATCACCATCATTTTAAATAATAGACCCGAGATATCTAAAACGTTCACACCTTTTCATGATTTTATCACATATAGTTACAACTCGCCACTATAGCTATTACTAAAGTTACATTTCATGTATTCAGTTTGAGATCTACTCAAATGAAGGCCTTTAGACTCCAATGTAGAACTCCATAATTAAACTTTTTTCTCCTAAAATTTTTCTCTGGTCTTATCCACAAGAAGGATATCATCAGCGAAAAGCATACACCAAGGTACATCCTCGCGTAAATGTCCAGTAAGAGCATCCATAACTAAAGCAAATAGATATGAGGACTTAAGCTCGATAACTAATGTAATCTAACTGAAATAGGAAAGTACTTGGTTAATCCTCCTTTTCGAACACAAGCAGCAGAGTTAGCATACATATCTTTAATGACTGGAATATATGTCATATCAAGACCTTTCTTTTCTAGAACTCTCCAAAGAACTAATCTTGGAACCTTCTCATAAGCCTTTTTCTAAATCAATAAAAATCATATGACGATCCTCCTTACACACTCAATACTTCCCAATCAAACCTCTCAATAAATGTATAGCTTCCATAGTAGACTTGCATGGCATAAATCCAAATAGACTATGAGAGATCTTTGTTTCATGTCTTACTTTATATTCAATTACCCTCTCCCATAATTTTAAATTATGACAGAATAACTTAATTGCTATATAATTTTGTTGTTATCATTCAATAACAACAAATTTCTTTACTTTAAAAGATATCACACCTTCGATTAAAATTTTTTTTTTTTAATTAAACTCATGTTCAAGAGGAGAACGGCTAACTGGAAAATAAGTTTGATGTAACCTTTGTCTTCCATATTGACATTTCAATCACAGAAACTCTAATCACGATATCTTTTTAGATCTACATGAGGAGGAATAAACCAAGCCAAAATCCCCAACAGGCTTGAGAATTAGAGTTGCCTTCAGTTAACAATGATCAACCCATCAACATATATTCATCATTGCACCCCATTTCTCAATATGCATCCCTTCAAACTTTTTCTCCTATATCAGGCCTTCCAAACAAACATCCACACCAACAACATTAAAATAGCCCAACTCTATTTCAGGCACTAGAAATTAAGAGCTAGAAAAATATCAACAGATAAGAGATAAATGCTTTAAAAAAAAATTATACAAAAGACATTGATGAGCAATTTAAAGAAAAAATTTATGGGATACAAAATTATCTTTTAATTAAAATATAGATCAGACGAAAGCATGTAGTACAAAACACTATTAGTTGCCAAAGAATATACTCAACACTGTCGAATCAACTATCAAGAAACACTCACTCCTAATGCAGAATTAAATGCAATATGAATTTTAATTTATCTTGTGCTAAACCTTGAAAAATAGCTCTAGTGACGGACAAAATTAGAGAGAGTCGTCTTAGATGGTTTGGTCACATTAAACGTCGACAATCCGATGATCCAATTAGGAGAGTAGATGTTATAGATTCGACTTATGTTAAGAAAGGCGGAAATAGACCTAGGAAGACTTGGGCTTATTGTATAAAAAATGATCTTAATTTATTAGAACTAAATGAAAATATGACACTAAACTGGACACAATGGAGAAAAAGAATTCATATTGCCGAACCCACGTAGTGGAATTAAGGCTTTGTTGTTGTTGCTGTTGCTAAACCTTGGAAATACACGCAACACTATTATATGAATAATGCGTTCTAAAATAAAAAGTTGACAAAGCTGATATACCTTCTATGCCAGCACTCAATAGCTCTTTAAGAAAAAAACTAAAGTATGTAGATTGAGAAAGGCGCTTTATAGTCTCAAACAATCTCTACGAGCATGATTTGGTAGATTTATTAAAATCATGTATGAAATGGGGCGCAAACAAAATCAATAAATCATATCCTTTTCATAAAATATTTCATTGATGAAAATATTACAATTCTTAAAGTATGTGTTGAAGCTATAATTGTTACAGGAGATAAAAATAAGGTGAACGAATCAATCAAGAAAAAAATCGTTGAATAATTTGAAATCCAAAAATTGGGCAAATTCAAATACTTTCTGGACATAAAAATTGCTCCACTAGAAAAGGAATCTTCATCTATCAATAAAAATATAATATAAACATATTAAAGAAAACAAAGATAACATACTGAATCAAGTCAGAAACTAGGCAGAAATAGAGAAGAAAGATAAGTGGAGATCAAAAAATAAAATCAGTGTAGTTAGGAAACAATTGCACATAAACACACCAATATTGCGTTTACAGTAAGTCTGGTTTATACACAAACTCAAAAAATATCATCTTCAAGCTGCTCATAGAGTCCTTGGATACTAAAAACTAAGCTCAGCACAGAAAATTATCTAGAAAAAAAATGAAACTCTACAACTTGATGGTTATACTGATATTGACCATGAAAGGTCACAAATAGACAGGACAATGGGAGATTTACTTCAAGATAATGCAAGGTCACAAATAAAATAAAACTCTACAACTTGATGGTTATACTGATATTGACCATGCAAGGTCAAAAATAGACTGGAGAATGGGAGATTCACTTCAAGATAATGCACGCATCTTGGAGGAAACCTTATAACATAGATAAGAAAATAATAATAATAATAAATATTATTTCAAGATCCAAAGTTGAATCCATATTTAGAGAAATTGCACATGAGATCTGTGAACTCTTATGAATTAAAACTATTTGGAAGATTCAAAAATCAGAAGGAACGAGGCTATGACATCAGTGCGACAATAATATGCCATTAGCATTACTCACAATCTTCAATAGCATGATCATAAAAAATATATAAAAGTTGATGGACGTTTTATAAAAGAAAAAACTAGTAAGTCGATTGATTTGCAGCCCATATGTCCCAACAGAAAAACTTGTTGATATATTCAACAAAAGGCTAAGCAAACTCACATTCAAAAATATTATAAGCAAACTTGGAATGATAGATCTCTATCATCTTGTTGAGATGAAGTGCTAGAGAGAGAGAGAGCTGACGAGAGTAGAATACAAGGAAAATTAGAAATCACAAATTCATTGCTTACAAAAAAAAATGCCTTTCTCATAAATTCAAATTAAACAAAGAAAGAAAGAGAGAACAGATTGCTCCCTTAACATTAATAGGCAATCCTTAAATGGATCAAATGGTGGAAAGCTATGGTGGTTTTTGTGTTTGTTATCTCAATTATTTATTTTCTTTTTCTTATTATGTAACTTTTTGTGTTTAATACCCATTGAAAGAATGACCAAACCAAGCTTTCCTAGACTCTTCTCCTTTTCTACAACATGAAACATTCACACACGCGCACACACACACACACACACACAGATATATATATATATATATATATATATATATATAACAGAGATATTAGGAATTGGCACATAGTTTGCAAATCAAGAGCTCAAGGTCAGGAAAATAGATGAGGTTCAAGATAAAATGACAGCATATCAAATAAGAACAAGAAGTATAGTTGGAAGGCAAAAATAATATGGGGCATTTTCAGCATACCACACAATTCTTATATATTTACATATCTAAGACTTAAAATTTTATATTTACATGAATAAAACACAAATCTTCCATATTACATAAAAAATACCATTATTACTAACTATTAAAAGTGAAGTACTCCTTGCAATGCATAGGTTTATGAAAACAAATTGTTGTAAATATGTAAATATAAATATCAAACTTTTAAGTGTTAGATATGTAAATTCATAGGAATTGTGTGTTATGTATGTGAATTTCTTAAATAACAGCAAAAGACACGTTGACAACAAGTAATAAGCATGCCCTTGAAGGTCGACTGAACGCCATACAAATGATGACAAGTATCAGTTAACAATGGAGATCAGGACGCATTAGAAGAGAGATCAACAACATTAAAAATTTTAAACACAGAAATCTTTAAGCAATAGAAGTATGTCTGGCAATTATTTTCACATAGAGCAAGGCACCACCAGACAGGCTCAAACTATGGCAAAGGGGGAACAATAATAGTTGTAACGAATGGATTGCTGCCAACAGTGCAGTTAGATGGCTAAGCACAATGACAAATTCCCAATTATTTACTATATTATGTATATTGTACATCACCAAGTCGATCAGATAGTCGGGATAAGGCTAATGATTATGATGATGACAATGATACATCTCAAACAGGTAATCTCATCATTTCAGGTTAGATCATTGCCAAAATGGAAATATAACTCAATAAAAAAAACATTAATAAAGTAAAAAAATTTGATTCAAACCAAGTTATTAAACACAAAGTTATCTGGGTTAGTTTTTCAGTTTTACTTCAATAACGCACGTGAATTGTTTCTCAAAAGAGTTAAAAAACCACCCAAAATTATATTGGGTTAGTTGTTCAGTTTTGTCTCAATAATGCACATCCATTGTTTCCCAGAATATTTCTATGTAAGCACCAATGTGTGTGAAAAAGACAGAACGGATACAACTTAAACAAATAACAATGAACAAACAGAAGGAAACAAAAATGGCATGGTGCGTGAATAATGGATCACGAAGATTGCTAGAGGTAAAAAAAAAATCAAGGCGAACAGCTTAAGAAAATCACTTTTTAGGCATGGCCTTCTCATCTGATGTGTAAGTCCAGTCTATTCCTTTTAGTGCAGCCTTCTCAAGAGGATCGCCAACCTAAAGGAAAAAATAAGAATTATTAGAACCATGTTGCTGATGTTCAAATTATCAGATGACCAGTTGGAAAAAACAAAATAAACCATACCAGTTTATTATCTACAAAAACCAATGAATGGCATGCAGAAAGCACTTCAACAGTGCGTCGAGGCAATTTAGTCGCATCTGACTCCAAATCTGGATTATTTGTTGAAGCAACAATTCCTCGAAACTCCTGGTACAGACAAATATGAAATTGCAAAGAAAAATTAAAAGAACAAACTAAACTTAAATCTTGAGCATCATACCATGTCATCTGATGTAAGAGTTCCAGTTTTATCAAAGCAACATATGTCAACCTGCAAAATGAAATTCCACAATTAGACAGTGACTAGCACTAATAAACAATTTGTTTTTTCTTTGTAACAAACCTTTCCAGCAAACGGTATTCTAAATGGTTCTGTGCAAAAAATGCCACGGCGTGCTAATGCAATCAAAGATGTATTTACAGCTATTGAAAGCTCCATGGGCAGCTCAGGAGGGATGACTGAAGTGATTATCAATGAGCAGCTTAAAATAAGCTTGTATTTACTTCTCGTTGGATCCTCCAGACCCTACAAGATCATATATTTTTCAAAGGCACAGCCGATACTTTCACCAAAGACCAAATAAGTGATGATGATTCACAAATATTCCAAATTCTTAAAAAACGGTCTAATATTGCACCACCTCCAAAACTTCATTTACCTTCTTAAGTACATAACCAGCAGCAATGATGGCAAAGAAAACCAAAAACAAAATGAATAGTCCACTTTCCCGATTATTTGCAGTCACCTGAAAAAATAAAGTCATAAGAAATAGTACCCCTAATTTTGTTGTTGGCTGAGTGAACATCAAAAGTATAATTTTTACCCTCTCAGTAGAAAACAAAATAGTTCGCATCAATTTTCCTTGACTTGTTTCAAATCCCGTTCGTAGTACAACAGCCACACACCCCCCATCAGGTGTTTTCAGATGAAATGACTATGTAGTAAATCTCAGAAAAAGTCAGTATTGCAGAACAGCAAATAGTATATATCACGGTTAAATGTACCTTATCCTGAGTATGCTGCAATATTTTTGTTCCGCCAAAGAGGATATGGTTTTTACTCCGTCTGATAGACAATCTCTCCTCTAAACCCCTGCCAGCAATTGATGTCTGAAAAAATAAAGGTTAAGAGATTCACTATATTAAAGAGTTTTCTCACAGAAGATCCTACCAAAATTAGCATTCGACAGTGGGGCCGGTCAAGAAAAAAAAATATTTACAAAATGAAACCCTCAAGAAAATGGAAAAGCTTGGTTTATAAACATATAATTAGCAAGAGAAAATTAAACGAGGAAAAATTTGTCTTTAAGAGATTTCATGTTTGGGCATCGACAAAAGCCCTGCAATTTAAAAAAAATAAAAATAAACTGAACAGACTATTGCTGGTTCAAAGATTCAGCATTCAATAATTTTCGCACAGAAGATCCTACCAAAAATAGCACTCACAAGTAGGATCATTCAAGAAAAATAATATTTACAAAAATGAATCTCGGAAGAAAATGGAAGGACTTAGTATATAAACATATAAGCAGCAAGAGAACAAATTTCAGGGTATAATAGATTCACTGTTATGGTTTGGCACAACCAATAACCATATTCATGAGCACAGTAGATATTTATTTTCTTATAATTTATTGCATTTTGTTATCTCCTTTCTATAATTTTCATTTCAACTTAAGGAGAATCATATTTACAGCATATGAATATCAAAATTGAAAAATGAAATTAAATCTAGAATTTTTGTCTAAGTAGCATCCATAATGCCACAACAATCAAGTAAAATCCACACTGCCACCTCGCCTTCCAACTCATCAAAATTCAAAGTTAAAAAAAAGTTTCAAAGTGAATTTATTACAATTTGATTATTCTTTGGAGTTGTTATCTTCTCCTTAAATATAATGATTATAATTATCATGAAATTTGTAAGAAAAATGCCTTGAAATGAAAGAGACATTTTGGAGAAGTCATATACTTACACTTAGGGAAAACTTGCTGGCTAAACCATCATCCTTAGGCGGTGCTCGGCTGCGACTTGGATTTACATTAAACAGGATCTATAAAATCCAGTTAAATCAGATTAATCTAACTCCGCAGAACTCGCAAGCGACGACGAGCGACGTCTCGTAAAATCCATCTCGTAGATTTGATAAATCCGGATTAAGTTGTAAAATAAACGGAGCGCAAAGAAATTGACGGAATGTGAAAGATTTTGAATTAACGAAGCGTTGGATTTAATTTCTATTTTTTATGTTTGGCACGATTTAAGTTAAATACATGGCTAAATCCCGTAAATAGTATGCTACCAAACACACCCTTAGTTTGGTGATCTTAAAGATCCCTCTTTAATAAGATATTTAATAGTTCTATGTTTGATTTATCTAATTCTTTTTGTATTTTTCCTTTATACATATCCTTTGAGTCTTCTGGAGCTACTCCCTAAAGCTTCACACTCATACAAAAAGTTAATCATAAAATAGCCAAGTTATCCAAAATTTGTCCAAACTTAGCCAACCAACCTTCCTTTCACTCTCCACATGAAATCCTTTATATAAAATCATAAATAACTCTATGTCCTTATTCCTAAGTTCATACCATTCTAAAGAGTACTCAAATCCCTCAGAACTCTAAACCTAACTTTTCCTTAAGCTTTAAACAACATCAACAAACACAAAACACCCCATATGTAGGTCTTCTCCTTCTAGGTCTAGGACACCGTGTGTCATCCACCTCCCGAAGTTCACAAATCCTAAAGTCACTCCGAATACATTCCCCCACAAATAAAAATAATCAAAACCTTAAACACCACCATATCCATTGAATAATTTGATATCATAGCTCTTGAGGCCATTCGAGGCTGTAAGTTGTTCATTCATCAAGGAAGCTAGGAGCACAATCAAGTATTCATCCATTAGGGCATTCATATGCTAATCAAGTGTTCGCTTTCAGTAATATCTCTTTTCTTCAATTAGTTGTTATCAAAAACTTGATTGTTTTATCATTTAGCAAATATATAAATTTATTCAAGTTTTGTTAGTTAATAATTTAAAGAAATTAGCTCAAAATTTAACCAGAGCCCTCTTGCATGCTAACCATAACAACGAATCTAGTATCCCCTTAAATTAATTATTAGTTGTGAGTTCCACTTACAAGCTAACTTAACTTGAATGTGATATCTAAGCATAAAATTTTAAATTATTATTGGCTATGGATGTGGAGTGATTCAATTGCTTAAGGTGTATTCTAATAGTAGCTTACTGATTTTTTATCTTTTTTTATTGCATTACATGTCTGCATTATGTCCACTATCTACTCATCATGCCTCCTAGGCATGCAACTCGTCCAAATCAACATGAAAATAATACAGGGGTTTTGATGATCATACTAACACTTTGCACGTGCACGAGGATAGGATGGCACAGTTGGTATGACATGATAATTATAATAGCACAATAAGAGAAAATAAGCTCACAAGTTGCTATTATAGGAAAAGCACAGCATGTCTGCCTCTGTAATCTCTTACATCCCCTCGTATTATAAATATGAAGCCACAATTGGGTCATCATATTGACAACCCTCCTGCACCTCCTCAATGAGAAATCATGCTCCAAGATATCTTGGTATAGGTGAACACCAAAATAGGCAAGTTGATGACATTACAATCTAACTAGCAATTTAAAGTTGAAACTCCTACCTTTGATGGAGTTCATGATTCAAATAAATTCTTAGATTGGTTCTCAGAAAGCAGGCTTTTCTTATTAGTATCAATTTGATGATTATCGAAGCATCTCACTTTGCTAAAATAAAATTGATAAGGTATGCTAACTTTATTGGATTAGCCAAAAATGAAGTCTAGGTAAACTTTTCTTAACATTAGACCTGAAAAAAAATACTAAAACAAAGCACCATCCAAGACCGCAATTCTTTTGAAGTTAAAAAATTAGATGCCACATATTTATGTATGGAGAATAATAGAGCAAGAAATAAACAGGTCACAATTAATTAGAAAGCTCAACAAAAAAAATTCAGTCATTCCTCCAATACTCATCAAGGACAACTTAGAAACTAGTTATGAGTTATCACTACCATTCATGAAACTATGGAGTTCAAAGAAGCAAGCAAAAGAATTAATTTTCAACTCGATACACGACAATTGTGGGTGGGGGCCAACTCTTAGACTTCATGGTCAGCTAATGTCCCTCAAGCAAGGCACATATCAATTACTGAACATCAGAATCTTTTTGAGGATTTAGTAGCTAAGACTAGCTACACTGATAATGATTAGCAATTTGTCAATAAATTTATTATTGAATTATGATGAGACATTATGAATGAGGTGACATTCATATATCCATAATAATTAGAGGGAGCATTCCATTTTACTTCACTGATATTAAGACAAAAGGTTCGGTTCATTTCCTAAATCCAAGGTCCAACCATCCAATCAGCCCCACCCATAGGTCTATTAATAAAGTTCTCCCAATCCCTGCTTATACTCATTCTATTAGAATCACCATTGAGGATGATAGAAAGAATATTAAGAAAGTTGCATACTTCAAATGCTAATGAGCAATGCTATAAGAAAAATAAATGCAAAGCCCAATTCATGTATTTAGGAAAAAAAATTCCATCATAAGCTTGATGCCTTAATGGAGATTCATACTAACACCACATACTCTTAAGATAACTTGGAAATAAGGACAACCCAATAAGGCCGAAGAGATGCTTAGCTTCAAGTAAAAGAGTGATGCTAAGGATTGGAAGACTATTTTCCATATGCATGCACCATGTAATGACAAGAAGTGAAAGTTAAGACTAGATGAAGGCAGTTGTATGAATGTGAAACCTAAACACAATTTAAGCCAAATCCAAACAATTAAAGCTTAAAATGAGATCTCAAACCAAGATTAGGTCGATCATTTAACTCAAATGGGTCACATTGAACCATTGAACTCCAATTAAACATAATTCTTGATCAACAAATGACACTCAAGGTACATATCAATTATTGAACACCTGAATCTTTTTTGTGGATTTAGCAGCTAAAACTAATTGTATTGATAACGATTAGCAACTTGCCAATAAATTTATTATTGACTTGTGGCAAGACATTAAGAATGAGGTAACACTTTTAGATACACAATCATTATAGAAAGCATTCCAATCTACCTTATTGATAGAAAGAAAAAAGAAGTTCAATTTATTTCCCAAATCTAGGGTTCAGTCATCCAATCAACTTGCCCATAGGTCTCTAAAAAGCTTTCCCCTTTCCTTACTTATAATCATTCTATTACAACCACCATTGAGGGTAGTAGAAAACCTTTTAAGAAAGTTACATACTTCAAGTGCCATAAGCAATGCTATAAGAAAAATCAATGCAAATCCCAAATCATGTATTTAGAAAAAAAAATTGGAGGAGATTCATACTAAGACAATCTACTCTTAAGATAACTTGAAACTTTTTAACAACAACCCGCTAAGAGTGAAGAGATGCTTAAGTAAAATAGGGCTGCTAAAGATTGGAAGTCTATATTCCATATGTATGCACCATGCAGTGACAATAAATTAAAGTTAGGGATGGATGAGGGTAGTTGTATCAATGAAATTTTCTCCTATAACTTCGTAAGAGCAAAATTTAAGTTTGAGCCTCACCTTGAGCTTTCCATGTCAATTGGGTGAATATACATATTATTACTAGTAGGTCTCTTTTTCTTATTAGGTTGAATAGCAACATTAACCATATTTGGTGTGATGAACTTCCTATTCATATTGCTAGCATCTTTTCGAAAGGCTTTGACAAGATGACATAAATGTTATCCATTACGGTCGTTATAATAGTTATGCATTAAAATTCAAGAAAAGGATCAATTTTTTTTCCCTAAAAAGCCCTTGAACAAACACTCACCCCGCCTCAACACAAGTCCACTACTGAATTACAACCCAATCTTAGCTATTCAAATATGTCACACTCCAGCTGCTTGCTTTTGGACTCCAACTAATAGGGAGACAATTTCTTACTTCCATGACACACATATTGCTAGAGATCCAATCCCTAATTTCCCTTCATTTACAAGTCAGCTTTGATAAAACCATTTGTATGATAGATCATTTTG